AGAAACAGCTCACAAAAGGCACAGATGAGTTCAGACACAGCTTTATATGTTGTTTCTATGTCCCTCCCCCCGAGCACTTTGATTGGAAGGGAACTCAGAGAAAGATCACAGTCACTGGCCAGCTACAGATGTCAATATAAGAGCAGTCTTTCCCCTGACATCTCAGCCTTTTCCATATATGGAAGATCACCCCATCCCCCTCCCTCTTCTCAGTTGCTGTTTGCTGCAAGCCTTCTGAATCTCTCCAAATTGATTCGAAGGCTTCTGATTCTATTCACACCTTTTAATGGGTTTCACGATTTGATTCAGATTTGGAGATTCAGCCACCAAATTGGTCTAAATCTCCTCTGAATCGGATTGGTTACTGAAGCTTTGCACAGTCCTACTGGCTGGTGCCTGGCCAATGCCCCCTTTGCTCCAGCAGGGAGGGGTGAGAGTCTTGGAGGGCGTCTCTCTTCCCTCCTCTTTGGCAGTGGCTGGCAGGCACACTCTAGCGCCCCCCAGCTTCTGGCTTGAGCCACTGCAGGCATGTAGCTGCATTTCTTGATTTAACAGAGAATGTCTGTCAAGTTATTAATCAGTTTAAGCTGTGCAGCTTAGACTAACCTGCAAAGAGTGAATCAATTCAGTCTTGGGCTTTTTGAATGTCTGTCCCTAGCCCAAAAGGCATTGTCTACATCCACATATTGCTTTGAAATGTGGTTTTCCTTCTTAGAATTAATAGACATTATGACCTGGATTTTCATCCATTTTTAATAAGAGTGGTAGAATTTAATTTGGTCTCTCTTTTTCTCCCTGTAGGACCCTAAAAGAAGGAAGTAAGGCCATATTGTAACTGTTCACATACCAAATGCATCCTTCCCCCAAAAAGTCAGCCTTCTAAAACTGGGGTGCTTATCTTAATTAAGGAAGCTGATTTTTCTTTGCTGGAATAGAAGCAGGGTGAAATAGAGCAAGCAGACACTTTTATATGTGCTCCAGGGGTGGCATTTTTACGTGTGTGAGTGAAGGGGGTGGGGAGCTGATGCTTTAATTAGAGCAGCTCTGAAAGCTGCTCTAATAAGGTGCTGCCATGTTTTGTGGATCGGCATCCCCCACACTTCAAAATGGTGGTGGAGGCACTTGAATTAAAGCTTGTTTGATGAGCTTTAATTCAAGCGCCCCCACCACCATTTTGAAGTGTAGGGACACTGGTACTTGAGAAGTAGGAGGCTGCTGGAATGTGGTAAATTTCCGTGCTCCAGCAGACTCAATTAACTGAGACTGCTCTGATGTGCTGGAATTCCTGCATGTTGGAGCAGCCTCTGCACTCATTTATAGGCACCCTAGGATGCATGACTACCAAGCAGGCTGCCACTTCTCCCTGTGGCTTCAAACAGCAGGGGTGATGTCCAGTGTTAACCTTTTCACAGTCACTGGAGAGGCACTAATTTTTGGCTGAAGAGCCACTGAGCAGCTGGTTGAGAGTGAATGAGCTGCTGCATGCAGTCTGTAGTATCTTGATTAGGTTTGAGACATGGAAGCAATACTTCATTGTTTACAGGAAAGTATATATAAAGAACTGCGTACAGTAAAGAAATAATCTTGCTACTACCCTTGCAAGGGTCTAGGGCTTAGCCCTGTTGCTGTGCTGCCACACCAGGAAGTTTCCGCTGCCTTAGTTTGTGTCCCAGGATGTCACATTTGCTGGACACTGCTTCACTCAATGTCACACAGTTGACTATGACTCTGGAAAAAATCCTTTTCTTCTACATTCTACCTTCCAAATATAAAATGCATGTTTTATTTAAGGGTGTGTGTGGTATGAAAGCATATATGATCTCTTTGCCTCTCTCCCATTCCAGCCCTTGTACTGAGATCAGCCATGTATGGACAGTATCCTGCTGCCCAAAAATGAGTATAGCAGTGAGTATACACCATAAGGAAGTCTTCCTGGTGCTTTTCTAAGGCAACATGAAACTTTATTAACCTGAATTCATGTTGTCTCAAAAAGCCCAACTGGGCTAACTTTCAGAGGTATCATCTGACGTTCTTGCAAAATAATTGAGCTTACCAGAACCCATGAAAAGCATCCTCCAAGTATGCTTGTGTTTTTCTAATGCTGTGATTCATCAGTCAGATGAAAATCCTGTTAACACTAGGAATAGCCACCCAGGCAAGGAGGAGGAAATAAAAAAGAAAACAGTTAACACATTGACAAAAGGTCTGAAGACACTGAAGAATCACTTACAAGAATAGGTGAGTGCACTATGGACCTCATTCTTGAAGACTTAAGACCTGCCATTAAATTCATTGGAGTACAAGGATCAGGCCCTAATATTTAGCACTGACAAGAACATTATTGTACCTAAGAACAAATAAAATAATTAGCAATTATTTAAAACAGTCTAGAGCAGTAGTGCTCAACCTTTCTGGTCCCACAAGCTGGATGAGTCGTACAGGACCAGTCCAGGGGTTGGATCCTGTACAGGGTATGATCTGGCACAATGGCATGATTCTGAATGCTGTATCTGGCCTAGCACAGCCCTGTGTGCTGACCCAACCCTGTGTGTCAGGTTCTGCCTCCAGGTATGCTGGAGGGACCTGGTGCATAGGGCAAGGTCATCCAGACTGTAGAGCTCCCCATATGGCTGGAGATTTGGTGGCAGGGCAATGGTGCCAGCATGGTCTGGATCATTTAATTGTCATGACCTGGATCAATTAATGCTGCTGCCATTCCTCCACAGACAAATTTCTGGACCCTTGGGGCCATGGGCCTACAACATGTAGTTTGGAGTTGGACTAAATATAGGCATTGGATTTATGACACATTATAACCTGCCTGGCATCTGACGCCCCAGGTACTTCTCCACTATTCATCCCACTTCTCTCCACCCCCCCACCCAGCCTCTCTCTCACCCATTGACTCCTCAATCTACATCATCACTGACTGCCTATCTTGTATGCACACCAGCCCAGCCCCTGGCTGCTTTACTTTTCATTCCATCCAGGAAGAGCAAACACCAACTGCAAAGACTTCCTCAGCCTGATGAAGGGTTTTTGAACCCAAAGCTTGCTTAAAAATTGTTTTCCAACTATTTAAGTTGGTCTAATAAAAGATATCAGATTCACCCAAAGAACCTTCTTTGGAGTTGGAGCACTGTTGTCTAAAAAAGCCTGTTACAATGGCCAGTGATTAAATGTGTAATACTAATTGTCTAGTCTCAATCAACTGAGCTATGAAAAGTTTGCTTATTTATAAGCAACGTACACTTTCCTTAAAGCACCATGCCATCTACTTTGTGTCTTGATAATTAATAATGCCTGTGCAGAAATTGCATTGGAGTCCTATAGCTAGTGCTGTTGGTATACACTCTAGTTAAGAACCACTTTATATTTTGTTTGTTTTATTTTAATATATGTTTTTATTTATTTCCCTTTGGAAAGGATGCATTTCTTGTAGGAGTGATCATTTGCTTGAGTTTCTTTCTTTCACAAATTTGGACAAACTAGAGATTTGAATCTTATCTTTTAAATCTCTTTGATCAAGAGAAACTCTACTAAAGTGCAATTGCACCAATTTAAAAGAAGTGATTATGACTAGAGGGGTGGGAAAGTTCCCCAACCCTTGCAGAAGGATAAATCATCTTGAAGGCTGGGGGACACTCAGATCCTCCCACCCTAAGTAATTGAGTCTGGCTCTGAAGCAGCTCCGGTCCAGTGCGTGTCTGCTGTATGCAGCAACAAGCCCATAGACAGCACCTAGTACAGTGCACCCTATTTAAGTGCAAAGTCTTGGGGCTGAAAAGAGGCCAGGTGCTTGGCAGAGCTGAATGTGAGCAAAGCTCCTTCACTACAGAGGATTCTGTGCTGTGGCACTAACAGCTCTGAAGCAGACCAGCTCCCTAATTTTCAAGGCTGCCTTGGCAGCTCAGTTAGTTATAAAGTAGACAGTGGGGCTGAAGGTTATGCACACATCTGTGGTTATATACCCTATGCTTGTGACAACATAAGCCAATACAGAACAAATTGGGACTGGTAGCCTGTTACGTGGGTAAGTGAATTATGCATGTATTTGGTATGAATATAAGGGGAAGAAGCTGTCTATAAACAGCACTGGAGTTTAGCAGAAAGTCATTTGACAGTGTCACAAAACTTCTATAAACAGTATAAGAAGTTGCAAAAAAGACCTTGCATTAATATTTGCGTTTCTCTGAGTATTACAGTCCCAGTAGTCCCTAGGAAATGGTGTTCAAAAAAAGGAATCACCTTTTTTCTTACTTCTAGGAAGGGGTGAAGAGAGCAGGAGCGCAGGGGCTGTAGAAAAAGCTGGGCTGAGAGCTAGATCTGGCCTGGCGGTGATTCCCTTTTGAATGAGCGCCTGCCTCCCTAAGCGCAGCTCTTTTCATTTGGACCCGAAATCCCTCGTCAGCCCTGTAAGACGCAGCTCTGCTCCAGGTAAAGCAGAGAAATAAACACGTGTTCTTGGATGACGGTCAGCTGCTTAAAATCGGTGTTTCTAGGAGCATGCGTGGGCCCAGGGGAGGGGAGCAGCCTCAGCCCACGCTGAGTGATCCCTGTGGTCCCGCGGGTCCCCGGCCGCTCACGCTGGCTCCTGGTGCAGCGAGACCCTCCTCTCGCCCCTTCCCAGCCCGGCGTCAGTGTGCCCGCGGCCCTGGGCAGCCGTGCAGACACGAGGCGAGCTGCTCCACTCCGCAAGGGGCAGAGACACCGGGCACTGGACCAGGAGCAGCACCTCATGCCTTGAAGACGACCCGGGCCCCGGCTGTTGGAGCAGGTCTCGCACTCGGGGGCGCGGGACGCTCCCCGGGGGATGCGAGGTTGATCTGACCGGGCGGGAGTCCTGCCGCCTGGCCCGGGGGCTCGCGGGCGGATCCGCTGAGCCCAGCAGAGTTGTTGTGGTTTGTTGGGTGGGGTGGGTTTTTCTTTTTGCCCTGTCGATTCCTGTTATTCCCACCCCCATGTGACAGGATGCGTCCTTATCGCTCCGAGCCCAGCGCTTTCCCCGGCCCCGCAGCCCTTCACAGCCCGCCGACTGCCGGGCCAGCGCGAGCCGCGATGCCCGCCGCCTCCCTGCTCCTGCTCCTGCTCGGGCTCGGGCTGGTGCCCGCGGCTCTTCCGCTGCTGGGTGAGTGCCGCTGCCTTCCCCTCCCGGGGCTCGGGCTGGAGGATTCACCCGCCCGCTCCAGCTCCTCCCGGCTCTCTCGTGGCCTGAGGGGTTTGGGCGTTTCCTCCGGCAGCAGCCAGCGCCAGCGCCAGGCTCTGGATTCCTCCCCCTGCCGAGCCGTGTCGGCGTGGGCCACGTCCAGCAGCCGAAGGGTTTGAAGCCGTCAAGCTTACCTGCCTGCTGGAGGCTCCCTGTCAAAGCCCCTGATCCCCCTGGCAGCCTCCTCTCTGGCCAGGCGGGTGTCCTCTTGTACCAATGCAGGGTTTCCCAAGCTTTTGGTACAGGGTTGAACTGGGCTCTCGCACCCCGAAAGTTGTGTGTATATACATACGTAAGAGTTGCACAGCGGTGCCCAGCCTTCTGGCCACACAGGCCACATGAAAGCGGCTGGGTGGGTTCACATGGCTAGTGTCTGATCCAGCCGTGCGGAGCTTGGGAATTTTTGCGGCAGGGGAGCAGTGGCAATGTTAATCGCCACTTCTCTCCCATCATCAAGTTTCCAGATGTATGGGGAGCCCTGGATAACATGGATCCACAGGGCTGGATCTGATGCTGATACAGTATCATTTTTTGTGGCATTCTACTGCTGCTCTTGAAACCCACTAGCATGCCACAACGCAGCTTTTGGGAATCATTGTACTTAAACTCACTTCCCTTTTCACACTTGTGTAACTGGAATTTTACTCCTGCTCTATAGTCAGCTGAAAGAGTCGGCATTAGGTTCTTGGTGCCTCCAGAGCCTCTATACAAGCCAGTTGAGTAATGCAGCCTGGCCTCTAAATTGCAGGGCAAAGGAGACGTGTGCTTTGATTAAGTGGAGAGGCGTTTGGTGCCTGGATATTTTCCAGCAGATTAATTTTGTTAAGGGTGTTCTATGTATGTGTGTTTTCTTTTTAATCTGCCTTTGTCAGTAAATATGTTAGGTTTATTAGCAGTATGATTCAGAATGACAAAAATAAAATGACAGCATAGATTAGAGCTTCTTGCTTTCACAAGTTGAGGGTGTCTGATTTCTATTTTCTGTAAGCCCTGTGGTTTACACCCAGCCATTTTGGAAATGATCAGTATTTTGTGCAACTTAACATTTTATACTAAAAGTTCACGCAGGCTGCAGCCAATTCTTTTGCCTCTCTTACCCCATCCCCCCTTACCTCCCCCTTCCCAGTTTTTGCAGATGCATTGGCCTTTTTGGCCCATGCTGTTATGAGCACCACTGTATTTAAATAGGGATGATGACTTGTGGCATCTCTCTCTTTGCATGGTGACATTTTGTCATTTTAATTAATTAACAAGACCAAAGCTTACATTCAAGAAGTACAGTCTCATTCAGTTCTACTGTCACCCAGCCCTGGTTTGCACTTTTAAGGTTAGTTGCTCAACACTCCTCACAAGTTTTACACTTGTTTTGCTCCATTCCCTTCCAATGAGTTACTCCTGATTGACACTGGTGCAAGTCAGGTTGGTTGCCATTTGTACTTGCTGTAAGTTCTGAAACCAATGCTCACTTAACCCTGCTTGCATATAATTTATATCTATACAGGGATTCAAAGAAGGGGTCAAGATATGCACACAAAAGCATGGTGCTCTCTGTAAATTCTACGCCAAACATTTCTTTGAAGATCACTGGATAGATCATGAGAAGAAATGAATAGTTGTATGAGGAGTGCAGTTAACACCCACCTCCCCCTCCACACCCTTATTGATAGGACAGGGCCCCCATGTTGGATTGAACACTACAGAAACAAGTGATGCCATAATGGTTGCAGAGAAGAGCTGGAATGGCATCTGGTTGGCAGGAGATTGTCACAACTATAGGCACTTGGCTTGTTTGGCAGGAAGCAAATAATGAGGATGCTGTAGGCACAATGGCTAGGGACAGAAATGATGCACCAATTGGTATAAGTGATCAGAAACGGGTTTAAATCTGTAACAACAGAAATTCAGTGCACATAAACTGCTTTCAAAATGACTGAAACTGGTTTAAGATAGACCTGGATGGATGTAGTATCAGATGTAACTGAATTAAGTTATATCAATTTATTGGACTTCTGTGCCAGATCCCCCCAGGTTCAAGTTAACTCTCAGTCTCTCAGCATCCCAGGGTGCTTTGCACTTCCCCTGCAAGCCCCCTCACAGGGTGGGTGGGCTAGCTTCTGCCCAAGCTGTCTGCCTCAGCCAAGCAGGGAGGCATGCTCTAGCACCCCTGGCTTCTGGCCTGGGCCACTGCAGGTATGTGGCTGCATTTCTGGAATCAAAAGAGAATGTCTGTTCACTTGCTTATTGGTTCAATCTACGCAGCTTAGACAAACCTGCAAAGATTGAATTGATTCAGTCTCCGGCTTTTTGACTGTCTGTACTTAGCCAATGTGATGTTTCACGCTGGAAAGTGCTATGAGAAATCTCTTTGATGTGAAAATAGGCTGGGAGGCATCGAGTGAAATGGTCAAGCTAGAGTGGAACAGAGCCAGCAAAGGACAATACCATGTATCAGTTACATCAGTGATTCTCAGCCAGAGTGCTCCACAGTGCCCTGAGATCCTTTAAAGGGTGCTGCAGGGTGCCACACAATGTTAGTACCATTAGATGTGCAAATATGTTTCACAAAATAAATGCAGAATCCATAGTGTTAAAACATTTCTGATCTGTTATGGTCTTTTGTAATAGAAGAATTGCTCTATTTTTTTTTCTGTAGTAAAAAATGAGTGAAAACTAAGAGCTGGCATTTTCTGAGGGGTGCCTTGAGTCTAAAAAGGTTGAGAACCTTTAAGTTATATGGTCACATATGTCATGGGAGTAGAATACAATGACAGGACATCATAAAACTACATAAATACCTACCATATCAGGATCAAAATGAATTGTTACTTCTGTATCCTGCCAGCTTCTATTCTGTTGTCCTGCTTCAGTGACAGCTAATTTCCATTACTCATTTCTGTTTCCTGGACTCTGCTTACCATGCTACATGCTTCATTCTCTGCTGATGTCTTGGCAGCCTGCTTTCATATTCCCTGTTAGCACACCAGTGCTGCTCACTAGTCCCTTGTACATGTAAAAGCTACCACACCCATTTCCACACAGCTAACACCATATAAAGTGGTAGGAAAGCATAAGGCTAGGACTAAGTACAAAGGTGCAAAAAATCTGAGGCAAAATTGATTCAATCTTTCCAGTGTTTTCTAGGCTGCCTGATTGGCAGTGGGAGTTGGGGGAAGCACCCACCAAGGGTTTCCATCTTCTCAGCTGGGCTGGGCTCACCCCAGCCCACCCCTTCCCCAGCCATTGGTCTCTGAGGGGCAAGATCCAAGGGGGGAATGCACCTACTCTTTGCCTACACTGCCCAGCTGGGGTTTGCTCTGTCGGGGAAGAACATCCATGGTGTGGGCTTTTCACCACCCCCCCGCCACCGCCCCCAGCTCAAGCCAGGCTGGGATCACCCCAGCCCCACCTCTTCCCCAACCCCTCTGCCTCTGAGAGGTGTGGGCAGGAGGTGGGAAGCTCCCTCAACAGATGTCAGCGTGGATGGGAAAGCACCCACCAGGGGGGATTTTCACCCCACTGCAGCTTGAGCTTTTCACTGCACTGCAGCTTTTCACCCCACTTGGCTGGGATCCCCTAGCCCCACCTCTTCCCTAGCCATCATTTCTGGGGTGGGAACACATCCCCCAGCCCGGCACTGGCTGCCCCAGCCAGGGTCTGCCTGGTGCAGGGGAAAACACCACCTGGGGGCTTTTCATCTCCCCACATTTGGCAGGTGGGCTGGGATCATCTCAGCTCTGCTCCTTCCCCAGCTGGAATGGCTGAGTGCAAGCCCACCTCAGTAGCACTCACCTTCATGCATTGCTATGCAGGGCTCTGAGCCTAGTTTATACCTTGTTGGGCACCTGTTTTCACAGACTATTTCTTCCCTTGAACTCGGGAAGTTGCACAAAACACTACAAATGTAATCTGAACAGTTCTAAACTTCAGTCAGTTTTTCAACATTTGTGACAATGTCTTTATTGATTTGAAGTAAAGATTGTGGAAAAGGAGAGTGGGGCATTAAATTGCAAGCATATATCCGTTTACAGTAACACTGAGTTATTTCTTAGTAGAAAGGCATTAAAAAAGAGTTATCACTAGCAGTGATAATTGTACATTTCCTTGTATTGTCTGCAACAGTTTTTGTCTCCAGTGCTCATCAGTTACACTGCTTCCTAATGATTTGGAAACCAGAGGACAAGAAAAGGAAACTAAAGCATGGATAAGAGAAATGCATGTCAGCTCTTCTATTGAAACAAAAGGTTATACATTTCCAGGTTATCCTTCCATAGGAGAGTAGAATCACTTCCACACTGGAGTCTCAGCAAAAAAAGAAGATATATATTTTGAAAGTTATGTTGGCTCCTCCCCCCCCCCCCCCCCCCCCCCCGCCCCCAAACACAG